GTGGGTTTCCTTTGTGTTGGACCAAAATTGTTTGAGGGAAAGGGGAAGGGGGGAGTGGGAGTTTCTTTTGTATGGCCTACAGGAGGGTGTAGCGAAGGATTTCGTTGAGGAGGGCCCAGGGCTGGGGGCAGTATCCCATGCCGTACTCCGATTACTTTAGTTAGTAGGTGAGATAGTGGAAGAATAAAAGGTTTACACACACACACACACACGAACCCTTGCCCGAAATGAAAGTGGGTTAATGAGGGAGGTTGTCGAATCTCACGGGCTCGGAACCAATCTCGGACATAATCTCCATGATTTCTCAGTAGGCTTTAAATAATCACGTGGCGACAAAGGTACCCTACTCCAGCAAACTGTGATGTCTGGATTACCCGAGATGATTGCTCATAAAGGTGCATGATTGATTGACGCACCGCCCCCAGCATTGGTCCGCAAGCCATAGTACTGTACAGTACAGTACACACAATCGTGCCTTACTTTTTCGTCCTGGTATCATGGTAGACTCCGACTGAGGTCCAATAAGCTCGAGCGAGTTTGAGGCGCGTGCACATTACAAGGCGGAGACTCCATTGGAAATTGGCTCGAACTATGATTTACTCAAGCCACACTTACACTATATTTCCATGATACTAGTATCCTTTGTAGTCCCATCTTAATCTTAATCTCACAGGGGCTGAATAAAGACCATGCAGAATTAGCACTTCACTTCTTAGAACGTGAAGATGGTACAGAGGTTATTATATCCTCTAACTTTATACAGTGCTTCATTCATAACTCTCTGCTATCTATACTCAATAAGAACTTGCGAGTAAACCCCTAGCGCATATACAACAGTCTTACTCGGGAGTGCGAGAGGGTTAATTAAGGCCAAATATATATATATATCGTATATCTCGGTTGAGGAATATTGCTGTTTGGCACAAGTTAATTTTATTAGCCCGAGCCCAATCACCTCAGCGAACATGGCACTATACAGAAGGTGGAATGCCGTTTAGATAGATATGACCCCAGTTGTGACCAGGACAGTAAACTCCACGATGCAGGCTGGGGTCAGCGTCGGCCCGGCAAAACACATCAACCGGCCCAGACAAGGCTTTGAAAAATGATGACTACTTGTATACTTACAGCTCCCCCAGAAACACCCACTCTCGGCTTCCCAACACCCAATCCCCCGGAAAGAAAAATACGGCTTCGGAAGCGAAGGCAAGAGCTCCCGCTGATCGCCCTCCTTTACTTGTGAAATGCTATCGCCGTGTGAAGCCACCGCACGAAATCTGTGCCGGGGGGAAATGCGGAGCCTTGGAGCCCCGCTTGGCATGCCAGCTTCTGTATCATTATCATCATAATGTAAAAGCGCCCTCACAAAAACGGGTTGAAAGCACAGCAATAGGGTTTTAGTAACCGTTGGAAGTGCTCTCGACATAAGAGGAGCTCCTTGAAGACATTTTTCAAGGCGTATGATACCTTACAAAAAAAAAAAAATGCACAGTTCCGCAACGGCTTTTTGCCTTACGATATACCTTTTCTCCCTTTCGATGACAGGCGAGTGCTATGCTGTGACGCGCTACACTGCTTTCCATGTCCCCGAACAGGCATCACATCCCAGAACCTATGACACCCACGCCTTTCTCTCCTCCCCGCAATTGAGAGCTCATCCTACTTATTCGTGAATGCGAGTCAAGAAGAGTCCCCCCCATCTCTCTGGTAAAAAAACAAAAGCCCCCCGACCACTCCGGAATCGAGCAGAACCGACCGGACCCGGTCGCCTACTGTACTGTACTCACTCAACGTGGGGAGAAGAGGTAGAAAAGAAAGAAAAAAAAACCGCCCCACTTAAAGTAAAAAAAAAAAAATGTGAAAAAAAAAAAAAAAAAACAGTTTTTCCATTACACACACACAAGCATCCAGAACAAACTCCGAAGGAAGAACAAAGTACGATGCCATACGGCACCCGGGTTATCGGTACTCGTACAGTGAAAAGCAACCCTTCGGAGGGGCTCCATCCGTCCATTATACTTGTATATAGACTACAAGTATTATAGGGCGGCATGCGGGTGTATGACCCACAGCATCAGCATCCAGCATCACCACACGATGCCCCCCCCCCCACCGTAGTATGATACAGTAGCTATATAAAATTTGCGAGCACGTTTTTCGAAATCTCTTCCTCTTCTTTTTGTCAGATGTCCTGAGATATAGTCCATTGGTCGTCGTATCTCCAGTTTTTTCCTCCCAATTCGACCGCGGTACTGTAGAACTCCAGTACTGTACATAGTACTCGAGTAGAAGTATGATACTACTACACCTAACGTCGGGTTGCTCCCAAAGGCCCAAAGTGGTGTTTGGTCCCCCCCCCGGTCGGTGGCGGGGAAATGTCGTGCGTATGGTGAGGCGTGCCATTCCACTCCGTTCTGCTCTCTGCTCCGTTTTTCCCTTCTGGTGTTTTTTCTGTGTTTGGCTAAAATGATGTAT